TGAGGATAAAAAGGATTAAAACCAACGTGCTAAGGGAGTGTTATTGTTACAAAGCAATTATCTGTCTGCAAGTAAACCTCCCTAACATTTTGTTATTTTGGTGCTTTGTAATTAAGTTCTTTGGCTATTTTTGCTGTTGATTCGCTGAGGTATATAATAGGAACTGTGATCAAACAATCTAAAGAAAATTCTCTTTAATTTAGAATTTTAAATTTTTCCTTTAATTTAATATTTTTATTTTCATTTTATTTTTGAATTTTATTTTTAATTTTTATTTTTGAAAAATTTGATCAATAATTCTTAATAAATAAATTACAATAAGAAATAATTTTTATTTTTGTTGTTTTGATTCTTATACATGAATCCTCCAACAACTCCCGCTAATCTCGCTCGAACACAAACTTTACCACAAATTATTAATCAAAATAGAACCATGGGTGAGAATTTGAAATCCATCGTTCAGTTACTCAAACAATTTAAAGAAGGAAGCTCATATTTAAAATACTTTATAAACAATATCGATGAGTATTTCTACACCTACTTACTATACAGGATGGCCCATTTTCGATTTTTTAATAGGCTATATCGAAAACCAGCATCATCCCATAATCCCCATATAGTTTTTTTTTTTTTTTGACCACCCAGATAAAGATGTAACACTTGTCGCGCGGCTGTTTGTCGGCAAGGCGCAATAAGGACTGCGCCCACTGCGACGTGTCGCCTTGTACTACAAATTTCACCGCACGCCCCTGGCAACACCGCCGTCTTTTGACATTGAACGAAAAATTTCAATTTTATCCCCATGTACGCGAGGACATAAACATTTGCAATGTTATAGGAAATAAAGACATGTGAATCATCTCAATCAACAAAAACAGCCTCAGAAAAAGAACCTAAAGGGAAATCTAGGAGAAGAAGTCTTAAAATAAAAATATTGTCACAATTGTTAATACCTGCGAAGAGTATAGGCCTTGTCCGGCGTGTCCGGAAACGAACAAACAATACACACGTCTATGGAAAATCTAGTGCTAGGAGCCCCATATACCCAGAAACATGTAATTTTACAAACTGTATTTCGATATTCCGACAATAACCTAATTAAAAAAGAAATAATCACATTATTCCGTGATAAAAAGAGAATATTATTCTTCCTACCAAAAAATCCAAGAGCTTCAAAAAAATTTAGTAAAGGAATATGTTGAGGAAAACCACCTATTTAAAATATTATTTCTTCAAATCTCAACTTTTAAAAAAAACGTATACTATAGAAAAAATAAATAAATGTTGCAACCATGTATGCGCCGTCAAGTTTAGGGTTGAACGGGAGCGCGCCACAGAAAACGAAAATACCAAAACCGAAGAGGAGACAAGAGAATGGAAGACTAGACTAGAGAAGAAGATGGTCCGTTAGACGCTTGTCTGTTATTCTTCATTATTCAATTTTTATTTTTATTTTGTATTAATTTGATTGTTCAAGCCCTCCTTACATAAGTGCCGGTGGTGGCAAGTGGTAGCCCGCCGGAGGCAGAAATTTTTTTTTGCGTGCCACGCCCAAAAGCGTTCATTTCGAGCCTCAAAATGAATGTTTTTGGGCGTTTAGAGTTAAAAAAAAAACTTGTTTGGAACATATTTGCTTTCTATGAGTTGTTTAAATGCGGGTGAGTGGTGAACAATAATGATAAACACTATCCTAAAACTAATTAGGGCCTGAGCTTGAGCCTGGGTACGAACGTGAAAAATAGGGCCCTGTGGAAAATCAAGACACCCCAATACCTAGTCGTAATACTTACCTACATAACATACCCACCTGCACTTGGAAGTCTTTGGTATAGTTTTTCCAAAGTTAATTGGAACTTGGAACAAGGTGAACATAAATTATAACTGCTGGCTGACTAGTGGCAGTGCATTTCTTAAGGACATTTTCAGTGACTAGTCAGCCACCAGTTGGTAACTTGTTCCAATTGAGTTTGGAAATACAATATCTACCAAAAAAGTTGGTAATATTGTTAGCAGGAGTATTCATCTATATAGTTCTGTTGGACGGTTAGTAATTATTCTTGCAGAATTAGGTGAATTGGGAACAAAAATAAACATCTTGAAAAAACAAAGCAGAAGTATTTAGGAAATATAAAAAATTGTGCGATCTTATGATGGTCGATGGATAGAGTTAAAGCATTATGCGTGAGCCTACACATTGACTGTGCACTAAACTTTCTATTTATGTTATCAGGAGATCGGGGGTTATTTTCATTTTTCAGGAGTTTTTTAAAGTTCAGCTTATTTTTTTATTGGAAGTAGTTTTATTTTGGGAAATTCGTATAAAGTTTTACTTGAATCTTGAATGACAAAACTATAGGCGGCCTACGGCCGCCCCTAGATTTGGCCGCCTGCGTGCGGGGCACGCGCTGCACACCTGCTAGGATCGGCCCTGCAATTTGTGATTAGTATATGTGTCAAAAGGAGCATTCACAGGTCAGTTGAATAATTGTTATTTTGTTTTTGAGAGTTCAAGCATTATTTTTTTTTTTTTATTTTTTTATGTTTTTTGTTTGTTTACAACATTTTTTATAGCATGTACATTGTTCATGTATTCAATAAAAATTGTTTCATGCTGTGAACAACTCGGATTAAATTAAAACCTAGAAAAAGTATGTGCTGGGATTTTAATTTTTGGATTCCGAGCGTGCATTAGGGCCTTGTTGAATTTACTAAAATTTTCCTATACCCTGACGAGCAAATACCCTAGCAAACAAATCAAAATCAATCTAGAGATATTGGCTCAAAATAACAACTTCTGAGTAGCCTTCCGTAAAGGACCTCAGTACCTGCTGGTGAGACTGGCTAACTCACAAAAAGTCTTCAGTATTGAATATAGGTAGTGTTGATTGAATGTAGTGTGTGGAATTAAAATTTTAGCACAAGAACAGAGACGGTACCTAATTTGAACTTTTATTGACTTAAATTATTGATTAATGACTCACAATTATTATAAATATGACACAGTATGTTTTCATTTTTGAGGAATTTTCGATCGAGGGTTTCTCTGCCCTCGAGAATTCCAGGTCGAGAACGGTATAATTTACTTTAATAATAAAGTAGAAGTTTCACTAATTTTTTGTTTCTTTTAGATATCACAGCTTCCCTTAAATTTCCCAAATAATTGATGTCGGGCGCATGTCCAGTTAGTAAAACTGAGTGAGTTTCCACAACGTAGGTCCTATTTGTTTTTCATTTCGTTTTTTCAGAAGATTTGTTATTTAAAAGGTTGGTAACAAAAATGCACACAGTTCAATCTTACTGAACGAACCCGGGGTTGTTATACAACAATGTGCGACCTGGTATTTATTATTGCCTTTGTTTCCTAAAACAATCTTTAGAACCTATTGTGTTAAGAGCACAATGATCGTTGAATTCAAAATTAATTTACTATGTACATCTCAAACTCTTTATTGGAAGACATCACAGAAGTTGATCTTCAACAAGAGAAAACTGAGCAATTCCATTTCATGAGACTGAAACTTTCCACAGAGGAATAACTGAAAATGTTGCAGCCTTTAAGAAAATATTCTATTGGCCCCATATAGAAAAAAACCTACAGAATAGGGAATTTTCATATTTCTCAAATAATTTTTTTTTAGATACTTCTAGTGATCAGTTATTACATAGTTTTCTTTTTTTCCATTTTAATTTATACGTTGCACGAAAAAAAAAAATTATTGAAATTCAAATCAAATACTTGGCGCGAAAAAACGAAATCCCAATTTGACAGCGCTTGTGACGTTGAGATTTTCTAAACATCAAATACGCAGCAAACGAACTCCTGCTGACGCAGTGCTATTTTCATGTTATTCAAGTGTGTTAAAGTTCCCTATCACAGATTTCCCTATTGACGGGTTTGTTTACAGAATCGTGACGTCAAAACAGGTATCCATCATAGAAGCATTGTTTTGGCGGGAAAATTTTTATTTCAAATTTGATATTATTTTTTTGTGTAACAAGGGCGGTATCAGTTAAATAAAAACTGGTCATACGAATATTGTGCAGCATAAACTATCGATTTAAAATAAATTTGGAAAATTTCAGTCCACTTGCAAGCTCCCTATTATATCAAAGCATATGAAATATGAAATCAAACCAAGTATGAACGACAACCATGAAAAATCATATTTAAACCCTTCGAACATATAATAATATATTTACACATATATTATCAATAACCAGAATTTTCTGACCATTATTGACAGCTGTTCAAAATATGGCCTTTCCTGTTAATACAAAAAAGGTGTAGAGATTACATCAGTTATTGAAATATTTTAGTGATCACGGAATACCCCAAAAAAATTACTTCAGATAGTGGAGCAGAATTTAAAAATTAAATAATTACGGATCTTTTTACGTTCACTTTACAAAATCGAGTTTCATTATACAACTCCAAAAAACCCATACTCGAACAATCCGTTTGAAAGATTCTATTCGAAGCTACGTGAAAGTATAACGAGCTTGAAACTCTAAAACTTAAATAAGAGCATTACGATCTAATGTCAGTTGAACTGCTTGTTAGTGAAACAAACAAAAGTCTTTAGAACTACGCAACAATCTAGCTTTGTAAAATAATTTAATACAGACAAATAAGTTCACGTTATGATAGCAAAACACAGAATCGCTTTGCTAAACAAAATGTTAAACGACAATAATTTATTTCAGGTACTCCATCATGAATTCCTTACTATTTTTTACTCTCGTCGCAGTCACCCAAGCGAATACATCAGCGACCGTGGAAAATTCTATTTCACCAATTTTATTAGGAACTACATAAGAACAAACCATAACACGCCCTATTATTGGGGGTTTCTAATAGCACAAACCAGATAATCCTTTTTTTTTTAAACATGGGGAAATATTCATATAAATACGGCAACTATCATACAAGGTATCCACATAAGACAACAAATTGAATGCGGTAATGACATAATTAATAATTGAACTAACATTATACTTACTCGTCTAATTTGGCCTCAAACATTTTGTAAAGCATGCTCCTATCAAATAGGCGTCTATCCGAATCAGCTGGAATAATTGGTGGAAAAGTGTACTGTGTTTCATTTTGTGGTAGGAGATAATTAGCTTCAATATTCCAAGACATGTCCAAATCTATTTCTGATGGCACTAGTTTGATATCAAACGCTACAATAAGCTGAAAAAAAAATAAAATAAATAATATATAGAAGATGCGCAATGCACAATAAAAATTTAAATTAACCTTATTGTTTTTAGTATGCTCATGTGAGTTTCATTAATTTGTTTGTCAAATTGTTGAATGAAAATATTCAATTTTGGGGACCAGAGAACGCAACAAAATCGAAAAACATAGTAGTACGCATGGTGAATGGGCGATTTCAGAGTCTCATAACAATATAAAATAAATTGTTTCCTGGAGCCTGGAGCCTGCTATACGATTTCTGGAAGAAGGAAACCTTTTAAGACTCACTAGAAGGAAAACATATTAAACTCAACAGTATAATAAGTTGCGTATCTAAAGTGCGCCTCTATTCGCACAAGTCGCTTTCTCCTAGAGAAAGTATGTAATCATTACTTGGAACTTTATAAGTGTTATGCCTACCTAGCTCTGCGAAAGCCGTAGATATAAGTGAAAATTACATTTTCCCCGAATAGAATTTGCACAATTATTATTAACAACTACGTGCCTAATATCAATAGACCAAAAACGGATTGGATGAGACCCATAAATGGAATACAAAAAGCAATTACAATTTTTTTATTTTAATAAAATCTCTAATTTTCAATAAATTGGGTAGGTACCGTAGGGCCGGGCTCAAATACTCTTTGAGCAATTGAGCCTCAAAGTTGAACTTTCACAATGTTTGACTTAAAATCTTCTACGCTGGATATATACCTGATATCAGTGTTACTTAGATTAGATATTAGCAGTTGGTCAGGATGTTCGAGCCGGAATTGAGGATTGACGAACGCCCGCATTGATTTTTATTCGGGATAAAATCTATTCTGTTATAATTGTCAGTTATTGCAAGCAGTGTTTTCATTCATTCCTGGTACCAGTTCAACAACCAGAAAGTGTTACGGCTATGGATATGTCATAATATTGTTGTTATGGGAAAGACAATTGATTTATAATAATTGTCTTGGAGATTATTCTTATCCTTCTCTGGTTTTGAATTTTTAAAACTGTTGAGATATTATTCCTGATAGTTGTCCAAATGAAAGCATCTAATTTGGTTCTGCCAACCCCCTAGACTACATCGGAAGTGGTTGAATAGTGTGTGGTGTTTTTAAAGGTGAATGAAATAAAATGCCTTTTCAAGTAGTAACAGTAGCAGCAATAGTAGTAATACTGAATATGAACGGTGTCAGAGCAAAAATTGTAAGATGTTAAAAAAAATATTCAAAATCAAGGTCCAGGAGAGGAACTGTAAGTAAAAATAATTCCTCTAATTCAACACAATGGTATAATGTACAACCAACTGCAAGTGTATATCTACAATCATTCCTGAATTTGATCCTGCAAACATGAATGTAGATGAATGGATCGAAATTATCGATTATGATGCTAGAATTTTTAAATGGCCTGAAAATTTAATATTAGAATAACACGCATTTAACAAGCTCAGAGATACTTCTAAAACATGGTATGATTGCATCAGAAAAGTATAATTGGGGAGAGTGGAAAGATATTTTGAAAAGTACTTTTAACAGCTCTCGAAATGCATATGAATTAATAATGGATATAGCAAATCATAAGCCAATAGATGGTTGTTCATTGTATGATTTTTATTTCAGGCATGTAGCAAAAATAAATAAAATGAGGTTGAATTTTTCGGATGCTGACAAAGTATCGCTGGTTGTTAGGGCTATTGCAGATAACAATATAACTTCAGCAATTGAGGCTACAAATATTCAGAATTTGGAAAATTTGGCTGCATATTTGAAAAATAAAACATTTACTGAAAAATCAATATTAATGCCTTTGGAAACAAATACACCTGGGCAAGGCACATTCTGTAGATTTAACAATCGAGTTGATTTCTGATAAGCCAGTGACTCATCGTCCTTATCGTTTCAATGAAAAGGATACAGAAATTTTGAGAAATATGATAAAATAATTGTTAGAAGCTAAAATTATTAGAAAAAGCGACTCGCCATTCTTGAGTCTATTCCTCGTAGAAAAAGGTGAGCACAACAAGAGGATGGTGGTAGATTAAAGAGCATTGAATAAAATGACTATAAAAAAATCAGTGGCGTATGCCATTAATGGAAGAAATTATCGACAAATGTTCCTTTTGGATTATGTAATGCACCAACAGTTTTTCAAAAGTTTATGACTGAAATTTTCTCACCCTTAAATTTTTTTAACGCGATTCCGTATTTGGATGGAAATTTTTTTCACACGCTGAGGAGCGTGTGAAAAACTCTATGTTCAGAGCTTGGCTAGCGTGCGAAAAACTTTTTCGGAGGCAGTCGTAGGAAAAATTGTTGACAATTTAATTCTAAAAATATGTGCTAAACCAATATTTGCTATTTTTAATCCATCATTGCCAATAACTGTGTATACCTACTGATGCAAGTCGAGAAGGATTTGCTGGAATTTTGATTCAAAAGATTGATAATAAGGAAAACCCAATAGCATATTTCAGTAAACAAACCAATAATGCAGAAAAAAGTTATCACTCTTTCGAATTGGAGTTACTAGCTATTATTGAAACACTAGAACGGTTTAAATTTTATTTAATTGGTTATGATTTTAAAATCATTCCAGATTGTAAGTCAAGATCAAAGTATTGTAGAAATTAGACATTTTGTCAAGTGGTGATTCTCAAGATCATAAAGGTATTTAAGGAATATGATTTGCTTGGTAACACTGTTTATAGTTTAACTCCTTATGGTAAGAGTGGGGCGGTACCTGAAAATTGTAGATGGCAAATATTCAGAGCAAATCATGACGATATAGGCCATTTTGCTATTGACAAAACTTTAGATAGAATTAAACAGAGAGGTATTGGTTTCCTAAAATGAAAAAGTTTGTTTCAAAATATATAGCTGCATGTTTACCCTGTATGTATCATAAAGAATCTGGTGGTAAGAAGCCAGGGTATTTGCACTCTCTCCCAAAGTATGCTAGACCTCACCACACCTTACACTTAGACCATCTCGGTTCATTTGTTGAAACTGAAAATGGAAATAAGTACCTTCTTGTAATGGTTGATGGTTTCTCAAAATTTGTTTATCTGGAAGCGGTACCTGATACGTCTGACAAACATGTTATTAAAAAACTCAATGGTGTATTAACTTTCTGGCAACCCAAGGAGGCTGATATCAGATGCAGGATCTGCATTTACATCAAAAGCATTCAAAGAATTTGTTGAATCCAGAAGCATTAAGACTGTGACTGTTTACAATATCGGTTGGCTTACCTAGAGGTAATGGGCAATGTGAACCTGCCAATAAAACAGTTTTAGATGCTCTTGCTTAGCGGCTAATACTATCAATTGGGATTCGAAAGTGGCCAATATTCAGCAGGGAATTAACAGTACTAAGCATCGAGTGACTCAATTCACGTCTGCTGAACTTTCTCTTGGAATTACATTATGTGCAGATGGAGACTATCATATTCATAGTGACGATGAGAATGGTATAATAAATGTGACTAAAATTAGAGATCAGGCAGCTACGAAGCTTGAAGTAAATAGACTCAAGCAACTCTTAAAATTTACCGAAAAACGCAGAGCACCAAAAATGTTTGCAGTAGCTGACCCGGTTCTATCAAACACTATCAGTTTTCCTACAAATAATGAAAGTAAGAAACTTTTACCAAAATTTTGAGGACCATTGTTGAAGTGTTGCCAAATGATCGGCATAGGTTAATAGAAGACCGATTCACTGAAAGATCCAGACGACCATATGAAAGAGTGGTTGACTTGGAACATCCTAAATCTTTCAAATTTCAACATCGATAAGCTATGCTCCCAATGGCAATAGTTTTGCTCTCAATGGCAGTAGTTTGGCTCTCAATAGCAGTAGTTTTGCTCTCAATAGCAGTAGCTTTGCTCTCAATGGCAGTAGTTATGCTCTCAATGGCAAAAGTTAAGCCCTCAATGGCAAAAGATGTGCTCTCAATGGCAAAAGTTGTGCTCTCAATGGCAAAATGGTCACTCGGGACGAGGACCAATAAAGGATGGCCGTGCAAGCATTGCTTTCATTAATTCCTGGTACCAGTTCAACAACCAGAAAGCGTTACGGCTATGGGTATGTCATAATATTGTTGCTATGGGAAAGAAAATTGATTTATAATTGTCTTGGAGATTATCATTATTCTTCTCTGATTTTGTATTTTTAAAACTGTTAATATATTTATTTGTCACTCATTTGTAAAACGTCATTTATCAAGTCAAAACATAAACAACGAAAATTGATTTTTACCAGTTACTGGCTCTACTGACTTGTAAAATTGACAGCTAAACTGTAAAAACTTTTTACAAGTCAGTACGGTCAGGAGAATTATTTATTAAAATTGTATTACTTATGTATTAATTTTTTATTCATTGTTTACAAATGAGTAACAAATAAATTATTGTACATCATACGCCAGGTATCAGTTTTTACTGGCTCTTGAAGGTGACAAGCTCGCCTGAGGGCTCGCTAGTCATTTCCTTCAATCACCAGTAAAAACTGTTTTACCTGGCTAATAATGTAAAATACTATATCACTGATAATTGTCCAAATGAAAGCATCAAATTTGGTTCCGCCAACCCCCTAGACTACACTATAATAGCGAACAACATGCATATTCTATTATATTTACAACTTGGTGGTATACTAGGCTAGTCAAAATAGGTGGTTGAGGTAGAAAAAATTAGTAACAAAGTGATCTCTGTGGAAATGAGTAGCCAATAGGGTTCTAATGAATCCGTCAAAAATCGCACTCTGCCGCATTGGTGGAACTTGGAAAAAAATGGCCGCCATCTTGATTTTTTTGGAATTTATTGAATATTTCGTAAAGTATGCATTATATCAAAAAAACTCAGAAAAACTTTTTTGTGGAGAATCAAAAGTTACCTATATTGAAGGAAATTTCAAGACCATTAGCTGGAAAACGAAAAAGTTATTGACATTTATTTCATTTGGCAACATGGAATTTTTCAAAACATCTGAAAAAAACTT